AATGAAGTTCCCGCTGGCGGGTACAAACAAGGTATAATGTCAGAGTTAGAAGACAACATTCTTGTTTTCCTTAAGTTGTACCCATTTCAGTACTTTACCTGTTAATAGTTCTAAAAAAGTTTAATTTTTCCTCTAGACCACCTGGTACACAAAGCAAACAGAAAAACTCTTAAGTTTTTCTGTAATACTAAAGAAAGTGAGATAAGTCTTTAAAGTTAAAGATCTATAGACACTTTAGGCAAAACAGGCTCATAAAGCAATTAAAAAATTAACAATTTAGTAAAAACAGGCTACATAATATTTTGTTTTTACTTATTTTTCATTTGTCTATTGATCTTTAAATTAAATTAGACACTTCCAGTGGTTTCTTGGTCTCTTGTACACACCTGTTTTTTCCAATGTCCTCCTTTAGTATGGCTGGTAATTGTTTTGATGATTGCCACCTCCTCGAGATGCCTTGCCATAAGTGCTCTGTTGGCCTATTTTGAAAAGACAAAACATTACATTAAACAGTTGTCTGTAAAAGAACTTTGCTATTTTAAAAGTGTATGCTATTTTAAAAGTATTTACACACGACTTAGCATGCCAAGTAAACATTAAAATCTCACACATTTCAAACAAACTAGTCATACATTTTATCACATATTACATAATGTTTATGACACCAAAACCTGTCACTGTAATTTCACTAAGACACTAAACCCTCAAAAATGTAACATCTCTATTAATGGTAAAACACACACACACAATTTTAAAATGGGATTCTACTTTAACACTAAAGTATAAGACCATTTGTATATGAAGTTAAGTTAAATATTCTTACCACTGTAGTCTGCATATCCCTGTCCATATCCATAGTTCCCATAGTTATACCCAGTATAATCATATCCGCCATAGCCACTATAGTTTTGATCACCACCATAGGCACTATTGTAATTTCCATATCCTTGATCATAATAGTTATTAAATCCTTGGTTCCAGTTTTGGCCCTGACCTGAAACAATGCACAACGATTGTTAGGAAACAACTTCTGACCCTTAATCTCAACATAAAACTATGTGTTCCTATCACTCTGCATATCTTAAAAAGGCAGAATAAATGCTGTATTGACACCTGCTTGAGGAAGTATTTTTCCAGTTGTCATTAAAAGGACAGGGGCAGAAAGTCCAACTGTGCCAGTACCAAGCTTCCTACAGTTAATGAAAATCAGGATAAAGGTGAAGATGGGTAGAATGTTTGGCTTGGGTATAAGGTCTCCTGCACAAAGAAACATAGCATGCCAAGGTGTCATGTAATCCTAACTACATGTAACGGCATTGTATCTTCCACCAGCAGCAACAGTGTTAGGAGCAGCCACTCTTTAAAGAGGTGAAATCAGTAAAATCACCAGAAACAAAAATCTACCCAACCCAGGTGTGGTCAACTTTTCATGCTGGAAGAGTTTACAATTTGGATCTCTCTCTCTCACGGGCTAACCCATATTTAGCTGACAACTTGAGCCATTTCCCAGGAATTAAGGTCTTACCTCGTCCACGACCCCTAGTACCGCCTCGTCCACCAGCTGCAGCCCCTCTTCCTCCTTTTTGTTGTTGCTGTTGCTGCCTATATACCTCTTTGGGTTGTGCAACTTTGATTTCACACTATAAACAAATTTTAAAAAGCAAACACAACTGTTACTTAAGTTCTGTTAAGTGCTTCAAAACCAACTGAGAAATCATCCCACTAAGGAGTAAAACTTCTCACTTTTAATTATAAAATTAGCCTTACCTTCCCAGAACCAATTTGATGATATCTGCTTTCTAACAATTTCTTCACTGGCTCTTCGTCTGTATATGTGATAAAACAAAATCCTCTTCTTTCATTTGTTTTAGTATCCATAGGAAGTTCAATATTTTCAATCTGTAAACAAGATGAACAGTCAGGGTTTCCTACTGCTGCAGGTCCTTTTCATGCCAACACATTTATTGACATGTTATTCTAATCAGGTGAGCTGGTTTATTACCAAGTCAAACTATTGACAGAATGACTTGCTTATGCCTGGAACATTTATTATAGCAGAATACAAAACTTTAGTATTATTTTGTGCCCAACACATGCCACAAATTAGTAACAAATACAACCAGCGGCCACACCGAAGCATTCTTGTTTTGGCCAAAATAAAGGAACTAGATGTTGCTGTCTCATTAAACTACAAAATGTAGTAAGTTGCAGTCCCTGGAAGGAACCTTCTGAATCCCCCCCATTATATATATATACATATTTTATTTTATAATAACTTTTTACATATTTTTGTGCATTTTCCATCTCAGTTGCAATCCCCTTGGGTTTGCCATCACCAAATCACCCATGTGCCCTCACCACAGTCTAGTGGACCCTCTGAATTTATTAACCTCTCTCTCACCAGACAGCTGAACATACTACTGCAAAGAAACAGACCCGGGATGAACAATTACACAGCGCACCTCTCCAAAGGCTCCAAAATATTCTTTAATTTGTTCTTCAGAAGTATCTGGGCTCAGTCCACCCACAAAAACCTTCTTGGGGGGCTCCTTCCCTTTTAAAGCTTTGGCCCTTTTGGGGTCTATCAATTTGCCATCCAGCTTGTGTTCTTTCAGTTCCAAAACCTAGAAGACACATTCATTTAATCTGACAGCAATGTACAACCAAATCCCAGAACTTGCAAAAAATAAAAGGAAGCGGCACAAGACAGGCCCCTACCTTATCAACACTAGCAGCATCTTTGAAAAGCACAAATCCAAATCCTCTTGATCTTCCAGTGACTGGATCTGTCTTAATTGTACAGTCTACAACTTCCCCAAATCGAGACAAATATTCAGTCAGGTCTTTCTTGCTTGTATCCCAGCTCAAGCCTCCAATAAACATTTTACTAGAAATGAAAGTAATTTCCTTTTAAATGTTAGCCGCTCAAACAATTTTGTTAGTTCTGGGGTTAATTTGATTTGCGAATTAAATATGGGGTAACTTGCCTCCATGTGGAAATAATTTAACCTATGTTTCATATATACACAAAGGAACGGACAATAGACACAAAACCCCCCAATTTCCATCGAGCTCACTAAACCTGGCGGGGCAGTTTGCCCTTCACATTACTGCATAGCACAAAGTTTAAAGGGACTAACAAAATGTTTAAGATCGCATTAGGTCAAAAAATCCAACCTAACTCATGCCCTGCAATTTAAGTCCTTCCCCACCACTCTTCCTCACTTGTCAAGCCAACGTTCCACCCAGAGAGCTCAATAGAGCGCGTTCTGGGGACCGGGTACCAGTGTTCTACAGTTTCCCAAAGCAAGAGTTGCTTAAACTCCCCAGGAAAACGGCGCCGAACACTAATGGAGACACAATGAAGAGGCGGCGGCAGCTGCAGCATGTGGCGCAGCGAGGCCGGCCCCTCCCCCTCGGGCCCCACGCAGCGCCTGCGCAATCGGGACAGACGCCGCCGCCCTCCTCCTCCAACCCCTCCGCCCTTCCCCCACCTTCCGCGGGCCTCTCGAGTCACCCCTCCGACTCCTACTTCCCTCCTCTCTTCTAAGCAGTGGGGCCCAGCGGGCACGCGGGGGAACTCGGAGCCAAGAATGGGGGCAGCGCGCGGCTCCCGAGGGACGAAAGGCGCGCGCGGCGCGCTGGGGGAGAGGGGAGAAGCGTGCGGTACCCGTCATCCTGCTGATTCTTGCTCGCGTTGATTTTGGATCCCTCTGCGAATTCCTCTATGTTGCTGTACTCGTTCATGTCCTCCATGGTGGCGGAGTTGTCGGCCGGGGGGTGCTGGCGCGCAGTCCGTGTCGCGGCAGCAGCGGCGGCGGAGCGTTGTATGGAGCTGGATTTAAAATGGCGGCGGAAGAGATCCGGGCGCCGCCTGCGCCCTCCCTTTATAGCTGCCCCGCCCGCCAATCGGGAGGGTTGCTGGGCGGTGACGTGGCGCTGGGCACGGCGCGCCCCCTGCCGAGCGGAGCTGGGAGCGAGCGAAGGGAGGAGCGGGGCCAGCTGCCGCGGCGCCCGCGGCCGCCAATGGGAGAGGCTGCGGGAGGCTAAAGTAGCGGGAGCGGAGGGAAACAATGGCGGCGGCACATGGGAAAGCCGGGGCGGGACCTCCATCTCGGCCCTCCCGGCGAGGAATCGAGTCGCGAGTGAGGGGACGCGGGCTTGGGAGGAGAGAAGCGTCAGAAGAGAAAAACGAAGGGGAGGAGAGTCCTGGGGTCAAAAATCCCGAGCAGCGCTGTCGCAGGGCCACAGTCCCTCTTGCCTTGAGAGCCCTTGTGTCTGGCGTCCGGTCCAGCCCACTCCCAGCAAAGAGCCGTCAACCCCGCCTTTTTCCGCCCTCGGTTCCCCAGCGCGGAGCTGCTACGGCGGCTGAAGGTAGCGATTGGCACAGCGGCCGGGCTGCTCCAAAAAGGCGGACTGCGCCCGGCACCGGCGGCTGAGGCGATGAGCGCGCTCGCCCGTCCGCCGCGCGCACGCGTGTTTTGTCCTCGAGCTGGTTGGAACCAGCCGAACAGGAAGCGGGCGCGCGGCGGCCCTCCGGGAAGCGGCGCGGCGCGGGCGCCTCTTCCGCTGCGACCACGGGGGCGCGGTGGGCCTCCTCGCCGATCGGCCGGAACCCGGGCCAAAGCAGGCACGCCCGGACCCGGCACGGCCTCTTTTGCGGGCGGAGGGGCTCGGGCCTGGTCAGATTACAGTAAATATGCAAAAGCGGAGGCAGTGGGCGGGAAGGGGGAGGGTAGGTGCCGTAGAGGGCAAGGGGCACTCACATCCCCGGCGCGCCACTCGCGGGGCTCCCGTCTGCACGTGCCCCGGGCCTCTCCCGCTCGCTCAACCAGTCTGCGGAGAGCGCGCGCCCGCGCACCCAGCTCCCGCGTTCGCTTCTTTGTTCCCGCCCACGCGAGGCCCATTTTGACGGATCGGGTTCGAGGCCCTCTGGCGACCAATCGGCGTCGGCGCCTTTACCTTGCTCCCAGCCCCCACCCGGAACCCGGCTGGAGCCGCCCCTTTTCCCTGCCCACGTGGTCTCGGCCTCCTGCCCGTAGCAGTTCGCGACTGCAGGGCCCCTGTGCGGCAACCTTCTCCACTTGCAGGGGTGCGGATCGCTCTCCCCCCTCGCGGCTTAGGCTGCGCGCCGGTGTCCGCTCCGAGATTATCGCGCGGCTGGGGGCAGACTGGACTGGGCTGGCGCGCAGCCGGCGCCACCCTCCACCCTCCCTACCAGTAGGCCGATCCCCGTAGTAGCATCCAGTAGGGAAATGGTCGTGCTTTCCGTGCCCGCCGAAGTCACTGTGATCCTGTTAGATATCGAAGGTACCACAACCCCGATTGCTTTCGTGAAGGTGAGGGGCGGAAGGGAGCGGGGAAGTCGCTTTTTTTTTTTTTTTTTTAAAGTACTGCAGACTTTACACTAGAGACACGAGGCTTTGGAGAGTCGGTGTAGCTTTGAACCCGCTGCGGGATGGGAGGAAGTAAAACTGGTGCGGCATGTTGCTGGCATGCTTTCTCCTCACTGCTGCCGCTTCACCTTTCCCAGTTCCTGCTCTTGGTTAGATGCAGATGGGTGGGGAGGGATGGAAAGTGGTGAGGATAGGCCCAGAGGGCCGGGTTCGCCCTGGCTGGGTGAGGCCCTTTGGGCACCCCCAGCCGGACAAGTGTGCACCCCGTCGCGCCGCAGGTGAGTGCAGGGTTCGTGCAGGGTCTGACAGAGCTGGCTGGAGGGCGGCCGCGATGTCGTGGTCCTTGAGGCTTAGTCCTGGAAAATGGAAAGGCTGAGACGCAGGATGACTTTGGAAGAAGCCCTGGTGTCTTGGCTCGATCTTGGCTGCTCTTCCCTTCCCACTTCTGTTGTGGCCAGCCGTCACATCGTATGTTACTGGGCTGGGAGTGTTATTGGGCTGGAAGCGGTGGAACCCAGCGCTGGTTTATTCAACTGTAGAATAACAGGTCTAGAGACCGATGATTTTCATGAGAAAATTAAGGAAGCATGACGCTCTTATCCAAAGCCTTCTTCCTAAGATGTCATTGTCAAGCAATGCTTGCCCACACTTAATTCCCAATTCTACAAGTTTGCAATATAATAAAATAGTGTCATGTTTAAGCGAATTTTTCAGGCCTGGTTTTCTACATCAAGAGTTTAAGATGAAACTCTTTTAAAAAATCACTTCTTAATGCCTGATGTATCTACTGTATTATTTTTCCTTCATAGTCATGGTTAATCTATTATAATGCAATCTATTATTAATGTTACACATTAATTTACCAAGACCAAAGTTTCAAAAAGTGTGTTCTAAAGAACTCTTATGTCTGTGTTGATTATTGTAATTATTCAATGTCCATTATCAGCTGCACTTTTGGGAAATGTTGGGTTCTACTTGTTCAACTAGGTGTCTTTATTGCACAACTCTTCAAGGCCTATGTATAAACTATACCCATGTACATATATCTGCTTTGTGAGTCTTCAAGACAATGGGTATTTCACAGATTTACTTACAAAATACTTCTATCAGGAATCTATCAAGGAGGGGCTTCCCTTTTGGCTTGGGGGTTGTCTCAATGCTACCTACCACATAACACAGCAGACCTCTCCTGTTTTGCCCACTGTTTCCCTCAGCAGTGTATTTCTGTAGATCTGCCTCTTCTCTCCACTGTCTCTGATGAATCCTCTCACCCCCCTGTACACTAGTTCCGCTCAAAAATAAATAAAACCTTAAAAAGAAAATACCAAGAAGTAATGTTTAGAATACCTATTAAAGATATGCTAAATTATTTCCTTCTTGAACCCGTGAGCACAGAACTAGGAATTGGTAGATGCTTATTGTACTTTGGGCTTTATTAATCACATTGCATGTATGAACTTAGTCTTGCTTCCTGTGAAATGATGAAAGAATACAAACTTTGAATGCAACACTTGACTCATCTGCAAAGCTGTGATGTGACTTATCTACGTTTCACTAATAACGAAAGCTCTGAAAAATTGAATGTCTCTGGGTTTTGAACCTTTATTGTCTGACTCAAAACTAGATTCTTACTGCCGTACATTTCATGACTTGTGAAAGGGAAACCACAGTACTTGTTTATCTTTTTTGGTTGGCTGGTCTGCATGTTAAGTGACATAATAACAAAGGTGCTAAGAACACTTGAATCATTTGATAAAGTTAATGGAAGTACATGGTAATGAATTTCAGTTTACACCATCTCCTGGTGATAGGTTTAGGAGTGAATCCCTGGGCCAAAATAACTATAAGTAACCTGAGTTTTCCTTTGGGGATTTGGCTGTACAAGAAATCTGTGAAAATCGAGTAATGTCAAACATTGCCCTTGAAATGTCCTTACAAAATCAGTTCTCTCTAGAGACAGTTTCATCTCTAGTCATATACAGCCATTTTTCCTTTACGGTTTAAATATATCCGTTTCTTCCCTTGATCACCAAGGCAGTAGTTGGTTTGGGATTAGGTGATGTCAGTGAAACATATATTATGTCAGACATTAGTCTCACTTAGCCACTACTGCTGGCGACACTAGGAACTGAGACTTGCGTGGACCAGAACATCCTTACCAGGAGGAAACCGCAGCCAGAATGCCAGCATTAGCTTGGTGATCCCCTGACTCTCTTCTCTCTCTCCCCTCTGCTACTTACAGTTGAATATGTATATGGAGCAACCTAACTATGTTAGATGACACTGAGCCCATATATGTCTTACGGGACTCCATTGAATCTAGTATGGGTGTTCACTTCTCTGGACATGCATATGGGTTATGTTCTATAAAGTTGGTGCTATCAAGGCATTTTCCCTGCCTGAAGGGCTCCTAGCCCTAGATTCACTAGGAGTCCTAGTCAAGACTCTTGTCAGGAATGGATCCTAGCCTAGCCTAGATTCACTAGGATCACCAAATGAATTGCAGCCAGCTTATTAATTTCTCTTAGGATTCAGCCTGTCTGAAGGTCATCACTACTTGTGAGAGGCAGGCAGAGCAGCAGAATTGTTTCCCTTAGATATCTTAATCTTCAGTCCCTCAGCCCTGTCCCTCGACACAGAGCACATGACTGGAGCTTTTGACTTTGATACTCTCTAGTGATGGTCTTTAGCTTCATCATGTCCACTATCAGCAGATTTGAAGTAAAAACTACCAATATAATTTATAAACTGATGCACAGTTTGTGTCATTACTAAGTTATAAAATAAGTCAATTTAAAGATGAAGTTAAAATAATATAAATGAATGTTATATTTTTTCCTTTACCCCATTGAATCATCTTGCAGGCCCCTGGGGTATATATATTTCAACAATCCACTGCTTGATTTTTGTTCATGGTGATATGATACACATTTCCTGACTTTGCAAATTGTATTATCCTAATGTATTTAGTCTATTCTCTGGTTATTCTGTCAGGAATGTTCAATTATTATTTTTGAGTTTGAGGAAAAGTGATCTGTTGGTCCCTGAAAATGTCTTCAAATTTGGTGACTTCCTATTGCTACTTGTCTATTCAGTACATGAAATATATTGTAGTTAGATGCAATAAGCCCCTGTGAGCTCTTTCTTGGCAATACCAAACCATTTACTAACCTGCCATTTATCATTCGGGGACGAACAACAAGCGTGCAAAGGTTTCTTTTCTCTACACCCTTGCCAACACTTCTTATTGGTGGTCTTTTTGATATGGGCTATCCTCACAAGAGTGTGGTCGCACCTCAGTCATTTGTGCTTCCCCGTGACAAGTGATGAGTATTTTTTCATGTGCCTGTTGGCTATCTCTATTTTCTTTAGAAAAGTGGCGGTTAACTCTTGTCTGTTTTTTTTTTTTAAGATTGATTTATTTGTGCATACAGAACTGGGGTACAGGCCAGAGGCTCAGGGGCAGCGAGAGGCTTCACCAGAGACAGAGTGGGGAGCAGAACAGGCAGATCGACAAAGTACACTGCTGAGGGGAGCAGCGGGCTGGTCAGGAGAGGTCTGCCACACCATGTGGTCACCTCTGGGGTGGGGGGGGGGTAGGCGGCGGGAATCGAACTCAGGTGGAAGTGGCTTTAGATTCTCAGTGCTCTGCTTTAACCTGCTGCACCACTAGGGAGGGCCCTTGTCTGTTTTTTTTTTTAATTGGGTTATTTGTTTTCTTGTTGAGTTGTGCTGGTTCTTTACAGAGCTTGGATGTGAACCCCTTTTTGGATGTACAGATATTTTTCCCATTCAAGTAGCATGTGTTTTCATTCTTATGAGCTTTTTTTAAAAAAAATAAATTTTACTTATACATATAAGAACTGACATACAGGCCAGAGGTACAGGGGTGAGAGGATTCACCAGAGACAGAGTGGGGAACAGAACAGGCAGATATACAGGGGTGTGGCAGGAGAGGTCTACTGGACCATGTGGGTCAGCTCTCCGACCCAGCGTAGAACTCTGGGCTGCAGATAGCTTCATAGTGCTGCAACTTAACCCATTGTACCACCAGGGAGTTTATTTGATTTGACATAGTTCCTGTTGAATTTTGCTTATTTCTTTTGCTGTTGGAGTCAAGTCCCTAAAGCCATCCCTAAGCCAACGGTGTGGAATATTTTTCTCTTATTTTATGGTTTTGAGTCTTAATATCCAAGTCTTTGATCCATTCTAATTTTTTTAAAGATTGATTTATTCATACAGAAATGATAAATAAAGTAAATATCAAAATTAACAGACAACTGTAAATCTAAAACATTCTTGCGGGGTGAGGGGGTGGGAGAAGGGAGCTGTGGTGAGGGTGCATAGGTGAACTGGTCGTGAAAATTATGTAGGGTCCGCACCCGAGATGAAAAAGTACGCATTGAGCAAAAATGAAAAATGATGTTAAATATAAATAAATAAATACATGTATGTATGTATGTATGTATGTATGTATATGTATGCATATATATATAATAAAAACTTTTTTTGAAGGTTGTCGAAGTTCCTCTGTTTATGTCTAGGTGAGGAATGCATGTATGTCTTAAAACATCTCGGATGGCATGACCAAAACATCTCGGATGGGCCAGTTTGCAGTGCTAACCGCAGTGTACAAGGAGGAAAAAGATTTTAAGTAGGAGGAAGAAAGGAATAAGGATGAGCATGATGTATAAGGGATGATAAAAAAATTAGCATTTGAAAAAAATGTGTATAGGACCCTTTTGCAGAAAAAGGAAGCTGTCAGTCTTACTGCTTCATTTTCCTTTTTTTGTATAAAAAGCGAGTGTTTGTTAGAGTTTCCCTGAGTTTTTTTTATGTTGCTAAGCCTTTGTTCCAGTGAGGGAAACACTATGTACATAAAAAAAATCCTGGCCCTCCCTGGTGGCGCAGCGGGTTAGAGCACAGCACTAGGAAGCTAAAGTCACTTCCACATAAGTTAGATCCCAGCCTGTCCCCGAGGTGACCCACATGGCGCAGCAGACCTCTCCTGACCTGCCCACTGCTCCTCTCAGCAGTGTACTTTGTCAATCTGCCTGTTCTGCTCCCCACTCTGTCTCTGGTGAATCCTCTCACCGTCCCTGCACCTCTGGCCTGTACCCCAGTTCTGTATACACAAGTAAATAAATCTTTAAAAAAAAAATCCTTTGTTTATGTTGGTCTTTTCTGTCCTAATCATGTCATCATCACTCAAGACAGTTAGTGAGAAATAAAATGAAAATTCTTCTGGTTTCTTTCCTTTTAAAAAAAGATTTATTTTTATTACTTATGCATAAATTAATATGCATATATATTTATAAATAAAAACCTGGGTGCAGGGGTGGAGGTGAGAGAGTAGAGAGCAGAACAGGAAGATCTACTGAAATACACTGCTGAAGGGCGCAGCAGGCAACACAGGAGACGTCTGCTGTGCCATGTAGGTCAGTTTCCAGGCCAAGGATCGAACTCTTGCTGCAGTAGCTGCTGATAGTTTCACAGTGCTTATACTTAACCCCTTGCACCACCAGGGAGGCCCAGCTTCTCGTTTCTTTCTAAGTTCCCCCTGTTTTCTCTCTAGTCATATAGTATGTGAGAAAAATTGAATGTCCAGAAGCTTGAGATGAGCGGGAGGCTGAAAGGGAAGTGGAAGAAGGCATGGATCAGTTGTTTTCAGCTGTTCCTGCATTCCACAAAGTTCTGGTGGGTTGGTTCTGGTTAGAGCTGCTCTGAAGTGGTAGGTGGGTGTTCTACGACTGTGCCAGCACGTGTTGGTGCCTCATGAATTGGCATTCGTCCTTATTACTACGTTCAGTGAGCCGCCTTTCCAGGGAGTAGGATTGCTTTTCTTCAGAGACTTTTGCATACCCTGAGTTGGTATGGAAACATCTGAAAAATTCCTCTGTCTCTCAACTCTCATGTTCAATAGATCAGATTCACTATTTGAGAGCCTTTCATACTTGACTCCGTTCTGTGTGGAACATTCTCTCTATAGCTTGTCCTGTTTAATCCTATTTACCATTGGTGGTTCTCAGACTTTTTGTTCTTAGACTGTCCTTTCCCCTTTATATGGTCATCACTGCTCTATCATAGGCTAGGTACTGATAAGTACATATGACTTTATTTTTGGGCTTTGAGTTCTTTTGGTATATGTGTCTATTTTTGTGCCAGCACCGTATTATATTTAATGCTATTTAAAAAAAAAAAAAACGCTGATTTATAGTGTAGTTTGAAATCAAGTTATGTGATACCTACTTTTTTCTTAGTTGCTTTTACATTTCAAGTCTTTTGTTCATGTACATTTCGATATTTTTTGTACAACTTCTTTCAAAAGTGTTGCTGGTGTTTTGGTGGGGCTTCTGAACTTACTGAGAATAGGAACTGGATGTCACTTTTCAATCCCTTCTCTATGCCCCATTTAGGACTAGCAAATCTTGGTATAAAGAAGACACCAAAAGCATTGTAGAATGTGCCATGCTTGCTACATATGCTACAATTTCAAGTAAATATAAAGTGACCTTGGATGTAAAGATTTCTGATACCTGGTTTACTGACAGGTTATTTCTGAATTGCTTTTATACATCCATTTCTTATAGTATGTTCTATCAGCAGTGCGATTACCAAGAATCATGGTGATTATGTTTGTTTTATTTTAAACATTTGTCACCTGTGGACACTATACTTGCGGCAGGTATTTGAGTTATATGCATGTACCACTTCCTGTGGTGTGTACTGGGGACACAGCTGTGACATATGCTTTGCATCTGCCATCAAGGACATCAGACTTTTTTTAAAGTATTGAATAGTAAGTTCACTTTGTGGTCATATAATCTTGGATATAAATACCCAATTCTTCCATTGTGGTCCAAAAGTAGACATAAGTGAGTGTGGCTGTGTTCTAATAAAAATTTTATGAAAAAGTAGAGGTAGACCAGATCGGTGTCATTGTAAAGTGACTAGTGAAATAGTTCATTTATTTCTTGTTTAGTCTTTATCTCACTTACTTGTTCAAAGCAACAGATTTCATACCTTCAAAGAAATTTTTAGTGACTTATTTGCTCAGATTTGCTAAGGTGAGATTGTTGAAGAAGCTGAACACATGTAAATGACTGAAGCTAATTCTTACATTTTCTTTCACTCTTGTGCCCAGGACATTTTATTTCCTTACATCAAAGAAAATGTTAAAGAGTATCTGCAGACGCATTGGGAAGAAGAGGAGTGCCAGCAGGATGTCAATCTTTTGAGGAAACAGGTTGGACATTTCTGTTTCATTGCTTCCACATTCCTTAGTGTCTTAGAATTGAGGCTGCCTGAAATCTTAGAATAAATTCTGAGCATATTGTAAAACAAGTACTCTGGAAGTTGCCATGACTTGTCTGCTTAGGAATGCACAGCACATAATTAAACAGATCAGGGCAGTTTATTATTGCTAGAATTGCCTCCTTTTGGAGCTGTTTCAACTGCACAGAAATGTCATATATTTATAAAACTAAATCTGGGCATCCCTGGTGGTGCAGCGGGTTAAAGCACAGCACTAAGAAGCTAAAGCCACTTCTGCATGAGTTCAATTCCCGCCTACCTCGGGGGTGACCACATGGCGTTGCAGACTTCTCCTGGCCCGCCCGCTGTTCCCCTCAGCAGTGTTCTTCGTCGATCTGCCTGTTCTGTTCCCCACTCTGTCTCTGGTGAAGCCTCTTGCTGCCCCTGAGCCTCTGGCCTGTATCCCAGTTCTGTATGCATAAATAAATAAATCTTTAAAAAAAAAAAAAAACTAAATCTGGGCAGAATGCACAAGGTTCTATACAGTATTATAATATTTAGCATTAATGTCTCCAGTGACACCACCCTATCAACTCTTCCACCTGGCATGAGGCCCTGCTGACCCTCCAGCATGCTCCTGGGCCTTCATGCCCACTCTCCACTTCCAGCACTCACCCAGCTCAGTTGTGGTCCTCCTACCCATCTGAGTCTCATGTGTTCTGTGCCTCTATTTTCTCCTGGTTTTCAGTCTATTTCCTCCTTCCACATTGTGTGCTACAGAACTCCTGTTGTTTTTCTTATTTTAATTGCTTCGATGGCAAAGATCTTACTTGCTGTGCAGATCTCGTTCTCACATTTATTTCTGGTAGTACTTTCTACTTACATTAGATTTTATGGAATGCTCTATGAATTTAAAAGTTAGAAGTTAGATTTGGAAATATAGTCAGACTCTTTGGGGTATGGAGTATTTGTATTTGCAGATTTTTCTAGATAATGCAGGATTAGTCTGAAGCACTCCCTTTCCTTACCTTTTCCTTCATTTTAGTATATATAAATCATTGAGTCTTTGCATATTGGATATATGCATTGTCACAGAATTCTTGTCCTAAACAGATAATAAGATTTTGCAAAATGTAGGAGATTGCAAAATGTAGGAGATTCACATTCAGAGGGCTGAATGTGAACCAGTCATAGACACTACTGGCTTTTTTTCTTCGAATTCCAGGCATAGAAAAATCTAATTTTATTGAGATTACCTTTGTTTCTTTAGTTATAGTGCAGACAAGATTATCATATTTAACTGTATTCCTGGTTTTTTGGTCCTAATAAAAATGAATCAGCAAAACAGATTCTTTATTGTTATACCACATGTGTGCTCCTCGTACACAACATGCCTTTTGGTTTAAATTTCAACTTTAGCAATATTGGGAAAATACTGTTGAGTCATTAATTATAATTTACATTTGATTCTTTTATAACAGGTCTGAACTGTGGGGCCACTTATAGGTAGATTGTCTTATAAACTGACTAGATAAAATTGTGGCATCTATAGTTATTGATAGTACCATATTATAAATGTATTTTGACCTGCTTATGATTTTTCTTAACATTTTCTATAGCTCACTTTTAATTGTAATAATTCAGTAGATAATGCATATACAAAATATATGCTAATTGACTGTTTATAGCAAAGGCTTCAGATCAACAGCAGACTATTATTAGTTAAATTTTGGGAGAGCCATAATTTTTTTTTTTTTAAAGATTTATTTATTTGTGCATACAGAACTGGGGTACAGGCCAGAGGTACAGGGGCGGTGAGAGGATTCACCAGAGACAGATTGCGGAGCAGAACAGGCAGATCAATGAAGTACACTGTTGAGGGGAGCAGCAGGCGGGCCAGGAGAGGTCTGCCGCACCATGTGGGTCACCTCCTGGGCGGGATTCGAACTCATGCAGAAGTGGCTTTCGATTCTTAGTGTTGTGCTTTAACCCGCTGCGCCACCAGGGAGGGCCCGAGAGTCATAATTTTTATGTGGATCAGGGGTCAGCACTTTAACTCTTCCCTTGAAATTGTTCATTTATAGTTTTGTTCTTTAAAAAAAAAAAGATTTTTTTAATTAAAAGATTTATTTGTTTGTACATATAAGAGCTGGGGTATAGACTAAAGGTACAGGAAGGTGAGAAGATTCACCAGAGACAGAGGGAGCAGACCAGACAGGTCTACTGAGATACACTGTTGAGGGGAGCAGTGGGCAAGACAGGAGAGGTCTGCTGTGCCATGTGGGTTAGCTCCTTGATGGGGGCTGTGCCATGTGGGTTAGCTCCTTGACGGGGGCTCGAGCTCATGCAGTAGTGGCTGCAGACATCTTCATAGTGCTGAGACTTAACCCCTTGCACCATCAGGGAGGCCCATTTGTAGTTTCTTTTAGGAATCTTTTGTATCATTCCAAGTGTAGAATGCTTTGATTTTAATTCTGCTGGCTGTTAATGATAGTTGAAGAATGTTGTTCTGCTTAGTTTTCCAGTCTCATTTGAAGTGATCTCTTAAAAAGAAACAAACGATGTTATTTATGATTTGAAGGCTGAAGAGGACTCCCACCTGGATGGGGCTGTTCCGATCCCAGCAGGGTGTGGGAATGGAGGGGATGACTTGCATCAGATGATCCAAGCTGTGGTGGATAATGTTTGCTGGCAGATGTCTCTGGACCGAAAGACCACAGCACTGAAACAGCTGCAGGGCCACATGTGGAGAGCGGCCTTCACGGCAGGGCGCATGAAAGCAGAGTATGTAACTACTCAAATGATTCCTTCACCGTCCTAAAACTAAGTATGTTTTTCATTGGTCCTCTCTTTCCAGTGTTAGTTGCATTTGATTAGTGAGATAGAGAAAATCAACATTGTTTTTATTTTAACAAGTAAGTTTTTATTTTGTGTTTTTCAAGCATTTCTACCAGTAAATTCCCCAGACCTGCATGCTTGGCTTGTGGTGTGGTGAAAGACTTAATTCTACTTTATTTTTTATTTATTTATTTTATATACATTTTACATCATTCTTCCTTTTTGTACAATGTATGCTTTCTCCTCTCAGAGTTCCCACCACCAGTTCACTCTTGTACTATCACTTAAGTCCTTGTGCTCTTCCAAACCCCTATCTTGATCCCTCTCCCTTCCCTACAGATTATCTCTGATTTATACATGCCTGTTAATTTTGATTTTTACTTTATTATAGTTACTTTTTTTCCCCCCTGATCCCTTGTTTCCCCTACATTTCTCTCTCTCTTTTTTTTTTAAAGATTTATTTATTTATTCATATAGAACTGGAGTACAGGCCAGAGATGCAGAGGGTGAGAGGATTCACCAGGGACAGAGTGGGGAGCAGAACAGACAGATCGAGGAAGTGCACTGCTGAGGGGAGCAGCAGGTCAGGAGAGGTCTGCCACGCCATGTGGTCATCTCTAGCAGCCAGGATCTAATTCATGCGGAAGTGGCGTAAGCTTCTTAGTGCAGTGCTTTAATCCGCTGCGCCACCAGGGAGGGCCACATTTTTCTTTTAAGTGAAACCATCCAATAGTTTTCTTTTTCTTTCTGGCTTATATCACTGAGCATAATCCCTTCCAGTTCCATCTATGTTGCTACAAATGGCATGCATTTATCTTTTGTGACTGCTGAGTAATATTCCATTGTGTGTGTGTGTGTCTATATATATAGACACACACACACACAACATCTTCTTGATCCAATCATCTATTATTGGGAATTTGGGTTGTTTCCATATCTTACCTATTTTAATTAGTGATGCAGTAAACAGGGGTGCAGGTGTTCTTTTGAATTAATGTTTTTGTGTCTTTTGGGTAGATTCCTAGGAGTGGAATTTCTGGGTTGTGTGGAAGCTCCATTTTTAGAGTTTAAGGAACCTCCACACAGCACTCCATAGTGATTAGACCAATTAGCATCCCATCAACAGTGTAGGAAGCTTCCTTTTTCTCCACATCCTCACCAACATTTGTTGTTTCTTGTCTTTTTGATATGTCCCATTCTTATTGGTGTAAAGTGGTATCTCATTGTGGTTTTGATTTGCATTTCCCTTATTACAAGTGATGTTGAACATCTTTTGTTGTTGGCCATTTGCATGTCCTCTTTGGAGAAGTGTCTTTTTAGCTTATCTATCCTTTTTTGACTGGATTGTCTTCTTTTTTGTTGAGTCATGTTAACTCTTTGCAGATCTTTGTGATCATTCCCTCATCAGTAATGTTGTGTGCAAAAATTTTTCTCCCCATCATTTGGGTATCTCTTTTGGTTAATGTCTCTTGATGTACAGAAGCTTTTTAGTTTGATATAGTCCCAGCTGTTCATCTTTTCCTTTACTTCCTTTGCTTTGGGGGATGTGTTACTGAGTTATATGTCATGTAGTTTTTTTCCTATTTTTTCTTCTGTATATTTTATGGTTGCAGATCTTATGTACAGATCTTTTATCCATTTTGAGTTGGTTTTTGTGCATGGTGTAAAGTAGTAGTCCGGCTTCATTCTTTTGCACGTAGCAGTCCAGTTTTCCCAGTGACACTTAATGAACAGACTCTATTCCTTTGCATATTCTTTGCTCCTTTGTCAAAGAGTAGTTTTTCATAAATATGTGAATTTATTTCTGGGTTTTTTCTTCAGTTCCATTGGTTTGTGCATCTGTTTTTGTTCAATACCATACAGTTTTAATTATTATGACATTGTAGTATAGTTTGAAGTCTGGGAGTATGATATCTGCATTCTCCTTTTTAGTCAGGAGAGCTTTGGCTAGTTGAGGTTTTTTTGTGGTTCCATATGAATTTCATCAATATTTATTCTAGTTCTTTGAAAAATGTCATTGAAATTTTTATTGGAATAGTGTTGAATCTGTAATTTATTTTCGGTAGGATAGCCATTTTGATTGTTATTTCTTCCAGTTCACAAGCAGGAGATGTCTTCCCATTTCTTTGTGCTTTCTTATGTTTCTTTTAACATTTTACAATTTTCTTTTTGTAGGTCCTTCATCTCTTTTGTTAGGTTTAATTCTAAGTATTTGATTTTTTTTGGCTTGGTGATAAAAGGGATGGTTTTCTTGATTTCTTTTTCAGAATGATTGTATATAGGAAGGCTAATGACTTTTCTGTGTTTTGGTTTTTTTTTCCTGCTACTTTACTCAACTGCTTATTTTGATTAGTTTTTTTGTGGGTTCTTAGGGTCTACTAGGTATATTATCATATTGCCTGCAAATAGTAATACTTCTCTTTTCCCTATTTGGATTCCTTTGTGTCTCTCTGCTGTCTTATTGCTCTGGCTGGGCTTCCAGTATTATATTGAAAAGCAGTGTTGAGAGCGAACATCCTTGTCTTGTTCCAGACCTTAAAGGAAAGGTTTTCAGCTTTTCATCACTGAGAATGATACTGGCTATGAATTTGTTATATAGGGCCTTTATTATATCAAGGTATATTTCTTCTATCCCAAGAATTTTGAGGGCCTTCACCATAAGTGGATGTTGAACTTGTCAAATAATTTCTCGGCATCTATTAATAGGATCATATGGTTTTTAAAGATAATGGCCTATAGTTGTCTCTTTTTAATTAGATGCAGTGTTTCTGAAAGCATTTCCTTGCTTTCTTAAAGCTCATTCGATATACTTTAACCTTTTCTTGTAATGAATTATGTCAAAGATTACACAATAATAGTTTTATTGTTTGCCTTTAAGAGTTCCTTAGGAATTAACAAAATCCCTTTCTTGTTCCTTCACTGTATTGTAATACTGTACTATAATAAAGAAAATGTCATTAATGTAGCTGTCAGAAACTTCATTTACATCTGAATTGTTGTTTCTAATTTTCTGTGATCTCAGAACTCTGATGGTATGTCTGTTAGGTCTACAAGAGTTGACAGTCTCATGGCCTTTCCTTTCATGGTAATCATTTATGTACAAGTAAAGAAACTTGTTGTCCCTGTTTTGACTGGTTTTTATATGACTAGATAAACAGGTTGTTGCACTTTAACTTGGTGGTGTTCTTTCTAGATTCTTTGAAGATGTAGTCCCAGCAGTCAGGAAATGGAGAGAGGCTGGAATGAAAGTATATATCTATTCCTCAGGGAGTGTAGAAGCACAGAAACTGTTATTTGGACATTCTACAGAGGGAGATATTCTGGAGGTATGTTACCTGGTTCTTTGTTTTCTGACACTACCAATGCATGAAATAATTAATGTGAAAAGAATATGCTACAGGTATAAGCTAAGTCAGCACTTGTATTATTGCTTTTATATATGCTAACCAGGTTGTAAAGAGAAGTGGGAAAATGGGAATGCAGTTGGGTAGGGTGATATGTCTGTGGTATCATTCTTTATATCAGATTTATATGTGTGTATGCATTTTTTTAAAGATAGATTTATTTATGCATACAAGAACTGGGGTATAGGCCAGAGGTGCAGAGGGTGAGAAGAATCAACCAGAGACAGGGTGGGAAGCAAACAGGCAGATCTACTGAAATATACTGCTGAGGGGAGCAGCAGGTGAGGCAGGAGAGGTCTGCTGTGCCATGTGGGTTAGTTGCCTGGCCAGGGATGGAACTTGTGCTGCAGTAGCTGACGGTGGCTTGATAGTGCTGAGACTCAACGCCTTTTACAACCAGGGAGGCCCCCACAGGTTTTTAATTTTATTGTATGTAAGGATCACTTGAATACTTTTAATACAGGTTCCTAGACCTTACTTCATAGCAAATCTGAATTGGCAAGTCTGGGATGAGGGGTTAGGAATTCACTTCCTAAACTATATAGCCTAAGTTATTCTATAGTTATTCTGATGATGGTAGTATTAGAACCCACTATTTATGTACATTTAAGCTATGAGCTAGCTTATATACCGGCTGTCTTGCCAGTATTAGAAATATCATCAGTGGCAGGCTTCTTGAATGCAGGAGACTACAAGTTGAATTCATCTGTTTTTGGCACTTTGGAGGAATATAGATTTTTTTTTTTTTAGCAGAAACAGTATTATGTAAGAGAATGGGACATGTTATTTAACACTTTATAGTCACATTTACATTTCTCATACGCAAAAAGATTCTTTCTCACCTCTCCGTCTTCCCATCCCTCACTTTCTGGAGGACAGGGTGGTCATTTTATAAAGGTAATGAATGCCTTTAGGACTTTTAAAATGAATGCTGACTGATTGTAGGCTGAATGTAGGCATATACAGCTGATCATTCAACTCTTTTTTAAAGTGAGTATTTATTGAATCTCTGTTATATGCAGAGAACACACTGGACTTGGAGTGTGCCGTTTTCATTTTAGTTCTACATCAAAAATTAAGTTAATAAAATTTCAAGAATACCTTATTATATTATTATTATTACCTTATTTTGTTTTTGAGTGATTAGGTCATTTTTAGTTTGTGGAAAGTTCTAAAAACATTCAAAAGAACATATTAAAATAACTGATCCTAATAGTGAACTTATTTTAATTGCTATGAGTTAAATTAGGAAGTCATGCATTTGACCTCAGTTATTCCTAAGATGGCAAGGGTATTACTAGTTCTTGGGTAGAATTTCTAAATGTTTTAGTTAGAAAAATGAAAGCTTCCAGGAAGTAAATTAATAGTTTATTAATGAGACAGATTAGAGAAATTTGTTTATTCTAAGATCAAAGGGCTAATATTCAAGATCTTTTCATCAGGAGTGAAACCTACTCCAATAAGTAGTTTTTTGAGTGCAATAGTGTTTAAGGATATAGGGCAAACATATCTTAAAATTAAAGGTGTAAAATTAATGATAATGAAAACCAACCAAATAGGTTAGAACATAACCTTAGATATATTATACTGATACTGATAGTTTCTTCTCCTAAAAGGTTTTCTTCTTTTACTTTTTGTTACTTCTGAACTGTTCTATATTAAGATTTTCAGTAAATACTTATTGAATGGGTGAACTCATTGATTGCCGTATATTTCAAAGAAAACGGGTAAGGAACATGTGTTCCTAATTGGCAGGTGGCAGATGTATCTCTAGTCCTTCAGTTCCGTTTTCTTTGTCTAGCTTGTTGACGGTCACTTTGACACCAAGATTGGACACAAAGTGGAGAGTGATAGTTACCGAAAGATTGCACACAGCATTGGATGCTCAACCAACAACATCTTGTTTTTGACAGACGTTACTCTTGGTGAGTAATCTGACTTTTATATCGTATATTCCAGGATGGGAGCTGATTCTGACATGGCAAACACAGTGCCTGTGTAAACAAAGTTTAGGTGGGGACTCTTGAGAATTAAAACCATTTTCTGAAGAGAAATGTTTATTAATTGACACCTCCCTTTCCATTTACCCATCCTTTAGAGTTGTCTGTGGGGAAATAACATTAGAGAGATTCTTCTCATTTTAACTATCAATGGTTTCAAACGCATCCATCTGTGCACTCTTGCTGCTTGTGTACACACTCTCACACAAACACACATACTTATACGGATGTAATGATAAAATGACAAAGGAAAACTTAAAGGTAGGAAGGAGCATACAAATAAGAATATGAGGATAGGTGCATGGCTAGTTAAGAACAGTAAATTTGATGCACATTAAACCTGCATCAAATTACTTAACAGTAGTGACATCACTATCCACGCTAAGGAAAAAAAGAAAGAACATTCTGTAAAGAGCGTGATTGATTTTGCCTCCTATCATTCAGTTCATGAGCACTGCTCCAGGGTGAGTAGGAAGCTCGTCTCCACCCTTCAGATGGTCTTGGTCCCTCATGTACCATATGTGGTGAACTCATTATTCAATTGTTAAAAGACAGACATCCTTTTACCAGCATGACTTTCTGTATTAGATGTGGTACTTTAGCATAGAAATCATTACTTTAAAAACTAAGTGCAAAAAAAGTTAAATGCTTTAATGTCAAAGTGATTTCAAGAATAGTTTTGACTAAATGTAAAACAGCCCAGCATCTGTATAAGAATGTGAGCTGTCTAGTGAATTATAGAACAAATGGTGGTGAATGAGGAAACACATGGCAGCCAGTGGAGAACAGAGGGTGCCAGGGAGAAGGTAGTGTCTGTAGTTCTTGCCTGCAAGCTCCTGGTTGATGAGACATCTCCAAATTCCCCTACCTGGCCTCCAGCCATGGTTGTGTCTTTCTCCTTAGAGTTTGTGCCTCTCCCAGAGGACCAGCTTTTGGTGTGCTTACAGTTGCACTTATTTTGATGGCAGTTTCACATATGACATATTTGTGTTTCTTCCACTCACCTAGGAACGTACATTTCTCTGGGACTGAACACCCACCTTCCTTTTAGGTCTTTTATACTGGGCAGCTGCTCTCCCCACTGTCTCTGTGCTAGCAACCAGGGAAGGGCATTAGGAAGAAGGAAAGACAGGGGTACTCTTCTGTCTGTTGGCTCCACATGATGCCGGGCAGCTTCAGCAGTCTGTGGATGATATAGTCCTCTCCTTTGCCATTCTGTCTGTTGTCACAGGAGTAGAGTAACACCACCCCCACCCCCCATCCCAGCCACTAGGCCTTTCCAAGATGGTGCCCAAAGGCAAATCTGGGCTGCTGGCAAAGGTGACTTATGTGTGCCAGAATGTACATGCTTTATTCTTTCTCTACCACTGATTCTTGAGGCCTGTTATAGTTGGCAAGAATTGGTCTAATGTGTTAGGTAAGAATGGTAGATATATAATGGAATAGCTTTAAATTCTGAGTGGCTTAAAGAATTCTTAACTGTCATAGATCATCTGATGCCTTTAAGAAGTTACAGTGTTTCCCAGAGAAAGGTAGAACAGACTTCATACAGACTGGGCCTTCAATAATTGTTAGTGTCCCAGTTAGAAATCTCAGTCCTTCGTGAATCTAGCTGTATTTTTTTTAAATCTCAGTAGATGGCACCACACCACAGCTTTTTATTATCTTGAGTTTTGAAAGCTCAGCAGATTAGTGTCTATCTCAGCTCCTGTCCTGTGGGCTTAGCTCATCTTCAAAGTGCAAGGACTTCTACACACTTGATACTCCAAATAGGAGTGTGTGTGTGTGTATTTAAATCATTCACATCAAAAGGTGGCTGGAGATGAAGTTCCATGGTTTGCCACTATTTAATTTCCCCAGCACTTTGATGGTGAATTTCTGCAGGCTGAGAATTAGGAGCAGATTTGTAACTGAAACTCCCCACAAATTCAGCCTGTCCTAAGCATTCTGAGGTTGAATGTATGTTCCAACTTGTGATTCCAGATCTTTGTCCTGTCTCCTGTTTTTAATTATTACAACTTTTGCCCTAAGACCACTTACAGTTTCTTCCTATTCTTTAGTCACACTGTCTTTAACCACATCTTTTTTTCTAGTTTTCAGTATAGTATATCTGTAATTTCAGATATTTTGCTTTTCACTTAAACCACTTCCTTATGTTGCAGTTCCTAGAGAAATTATTTCTTCTGTTAGAATTAGCCCCCAGATTGACCCCAAGATGAATGTGGGTTGAAGGTACTTTGCCTCTTCTGCTGCAGTGAAGGGCATAAGCAGAGTGCCTGAGGGCATACCTTACACTTTACTCTGGGCAGCCCTTCACAGGAGAGCAGAACACAGTTACTTGAGGTGGGTAGGTGAAGAGATTTCTCTGATCCTTTTATTCTTTCTGGGAGCTTCTTATATCTCTCGGTACTGCTGCCCTTTAATTAATCCATTCAGATGCTGCAGCTTTTTCCCAAAGCTGAGAAACTACTGAGGTTTCTTCTTACACCAAATCTAAATTCCATAGCATTTACTTCAGATTCTTCTTGTCTGTCCACGCTTAAACCATCTCTCTGGTTACAGACCTGTGTCCAGTCTCCTACACTGACTTTCTCCATTTTTCCAGTATATACACACGTATTATTTTTTCTAGTTTTCTGGCAAGAAGTTTTTTTTCCCCCTTTCATGTCCCGAGGGTAACATGCTGGCATTGTAACAAGATACATCTAACAACAGCACAAACACCCAGTCATCATGCTTACGAACCAGAAAAGGAAATGGCCAGAAATTTCTGGACACTTCTGATCAAAACTCACCCTTTGTGCAGAAGAATCATTTGTTTAATTGTGGATAGTGCTTTAGTAGTACCATATCAAGAACCTGAGATTTCTGCACATTTAGCAACTTTCCAGGTGATTTCCACCCTGCTGGTCCCTGGGCCACATTTAGAATAGTAGTGCCTTAATGCAGAAGTTGGCAGACTTATTTGGAAGAGGACCAGATAGTAAATATTTTAGACTTTGCAGACTCTATAGTCTGTCACAACTATTCATCTCTGTTCTTGTTGTAGGAAAGCAGCCACAGACAGTGCTAAGTGAATGGGCATGGTTGGGCTCTGTTAAAACCTTAATTTAAAAAAGTGGTGGATTGTAGTTTGCTGACCCTGGTTCTTGAGCACAGACCATAAAGTCAGACTGATACTTCAAACTTTTGCTCTACCACTTGCTAGCTCTCAGTTTTTACACCCTTAGAGTGGAATAGTAACACTATCTGACAGTTGTGACTATTTAGGTGAGAATGACAGCTCCATGAAAGCAGGAGCTTGGTGTCATTTACCTATTTGTGGTCTCATAGTAGCATCTGACATAACATAGTATATGGTGCTGAATTAAACCAAAGTATTCATTGTTACCGTTGAAATGAAGGAAAGTGAGAGAACAGAGAAATCTGAGGCATAGTAGAGGAGATAATAACCCTTGCAAAACCTAGCAATGTAGTTTCATCTCATGAGTGCTGTTTTTACTTCTACCCCCACAGTCACTGATCTTTATACACTCACAGTCTAAAGAGGAGATATTTTGATATTTCTGACAATACGTTTTGCTATTCACAGAGGCCAGTGCTGCTGAGGAAGCAGATGTGCATGTAGCTGTGGTGGTGCGACCGGGCAATGCAGGATTAACGGACGATGAGAAGACGTACTACAGCCTCATCACGTCCTTCAGTGACCTGAACCTGCCCTCCTCAGCTTAGAGGGGGTCTTCTGAGGAAGACTGAGTTGTCCTCACAGAGTTGACCCTCTAGTTCTTCCTAATAGTGAAAGTTACTTACTTAAAAATGATATATGCACACATATGTATGTGTACATTCAGGTTACCTTTCACAGGCACATA